ACCCACGGGCTCAGGCAATCCACTCACCTCAGCCTCCCAAAGGCTCGGGATTACAGGCTGAGCCACCGAGCCCGGCTACCTACAGATTTTTACATGTAGTGGATATGCTCATATATATCAGCTTATCCAACTGCTTTGTTGCAATAATTCTTATAGATTATATTGGGGCAGTGTATATGCAAAATCTATATTTTGAGTAAATTTTCCATAACTAAAGTGAGTTTTCCCAGTGTTTGAGAATTCTCTACGTTATGAAACTGCAGGAACATTAGATATCAGTATTTGTAATCATTGATCATGTAATATTATAAAGTAATTTGTTTTTCACATATCAACGTTAAAGTGTATTATCTTAGTATAGTCTTGTCATTTGTGTTGCTTCATTTTTCTGTTCTTTAAGTTTTACTTCCCTTGTAATAGTGTCTGTTACTGATTTCTAAGAGATCATTTATGATTAAGAATGTTAACATTTTGTCAGACATTGCAAATGAAATATACCGTGCTTTTCTCCTATTTCTGTTACTGTGGTGTTATAGTTTTTGGTTGTACAGAAGTAATGTATTGAAATATAGTCATGTTTTATGGCTTTTGAGTTTGTGGTTTTTTAAAAAAAATGTTTATGTTATTACTGAATGTTTTTGAATTGTCTTGTTTTTCATCAATTATTTTTGTCACATTATTTCTTTTTCCATTAGTCATTACTGTGGTGTTAATACAGTAAATTTTTACTCACTTTGACTTTGCATAGTTACCACATATTAAGTTCTGTCATAATCATAAAGACAATTTCCACATACAATGGCTGTATCTCTGTTGATTTGTTTACCTTACCCTTTATTGACATGTTAATTACGGATGATTTACGCTGTCTTAACTATTCCATTGAGTTCTATCTCATTTCTCTTCTTTTTCAGAATATTCCCTGTCTATATTCGCATTTTTTTCTCTCAGTTGATGTTTACAGTTATTTTGCAAGTTGGAAAAAAATGCAGTCTTAATTTCATTTGCACCAAATTTAATAGATTAATTAGGAGAGAATAGATCTCTTTAAAATTGAGTCTTCCTATCCATCTATAAGGTATGTCTTTCTATTTTTAATGAAATAATTGTGTTGGGGTATTGCTAGTATAGTTTTTAAAACTTGTTTCTATTACTAAACATAGGAATTTGTTAATTTGGTGATTGGCATCATTTGCTCAACATATTTTCTGAGGTATGAACACCATTTTTGTATACCTTACTTTTTAGTAACATTTCATTGAATTTCTAAAATTATGGTTTTCTTTTACATTTTGTCATCATTTTTATCATATTGATGAAGTACATTAAGTACTTCTTGATTATATGGAAGTAGAAAGTGCCCATAGCAATTGGACTGTTAATTTGAGTCCCCTTAGTTTGAATTCTATATTCTTGTTGGTCATTTTTGCAAACATTGTTTTGTTAACAATTTTAAACCAAATTTCATGAGAGAGTTAATAAGATATCTTTCAGTTTTATAGTTTAAATACTGTTAAAACTCTTCATTTCGTTTTGAATAACTGCTGACTTACAAATGTATTTAAACAATAATGCATTTATATATTTAAATTTCTCCACCTTTCTTTCATGTTATCATCTAATAAACACTGATGTGCTGGTGTTAACTAATCTACACACCTCAAGCATATTTGCAATATTAGTGTCATTTTATTGGACTATGACTTAATGCCAGATCCCACTTTACATAAAATTGTCATATGTGTCCTGTTTGGTTCAGTTCCCTGAACTTTCTTTAATTTTTATCATCTTTACACTTTCTGAATAATTTATGGGATTGTCTGACCATTAATGTTCCTCATGGTGGGTTTGTCTGAAATTTGTCATAGAGATATGCATTTTTGGCAAGAACACAACAAATGATTTTATGGTCTTAATTCATCACCGGGGGCATAATGTTTATGTTATTACTCATGATGTTACTTTGTGTTAAAATTAGTAAGTGTCTTTCAGGATGTACTGCAAATAGTGTTTGTCATCATTCTTCAGTCTACTGATTTTGACATGCATTGATGTTTTTGCCTACAATAATTACTCCTTTGGTGTTTGCTAGATCTTAGCTTCCAAAATTTTTTGTCAGTCTTATGTTTTATTAATCACAGTTGGATTTTTTTTTTTTTTTGAGTTGGAGTCTCACTCTGTCACCCAGACTGGAGCGCAGTGGCCTCTCCCAGTCACCGCAGTCTCAACCTGCTGGGCTCCAACGATCCTTCCACCTCAGCCTTCCAAGTAGCTGGAAGTACAGGCGTGCGCTACCACACCCGGCTAATTTTTGATTTATTGTAGAGATGAGGTCTCGCCAAGTTGCCCAGGCGGGTCTCAAACCTGCGGGCTCAGGCAATCCTCTCACCTCAGCCTCCCAGGGCGCGGGATTACACGCTGAGCCACTGAGCCCGGCTGGGATTTCTTTTTGTTACCCTGAGGAGGAGTTGTCCCTTTTTATTCCATTTATTTTTCAATTAGTTGTTTATATCAGTATGAATTTATGGATTTTTTTTATTTTATAGATGAAATCCATTCATATCATTTTTATTTTTCCCAGATTGCCCTACCTTTGGCCATTCAGGGCTCTGTAAGATATGTTCTGTAAGATACCTTCTGAATCTTTTCAGCATTTCTTTAGTCTTATTTTCTTATTTACTTTCTGGCCACATGACAGTGTCTAATTTTTTTTTTCTCGTTTGCTCCAGTTGTGGGATCAGCCATTTCTTCTTATTTTCCTGGTTCCTCATGCAGAAAGAAATGTAGAAAATAAGATGGAGTGTTCATTCTATTGGGTTATCACTGATTCTAAGCCCCTGAAGGAAACATATGTATTTGTACTAGCGTTTTTTTTCCTCTATATTTTTTTATTTGTGGTACAATACACATAACAAACATAAAATTTCCTCTTAGCTGTTTTTACATATAAAGTTTTCCAGAATATTTTTCAACCTGCAAAACTGGAACTCTGTTATTAAACAATAACTCTCCTTTCCTATTTTCCCCAGATCTTGGTGACCAACATTCTACTTTCTGTCTGATTTTGACTGCTAGAAATATCTAATTGAAATGTTTGTCTTCTTCTGATTGCCTTATTTTACTTAGCATAATATCTTCAGGGTTTATTCATATTGTAGCATTTGTCAGAATTAGTATTTCTAAGGCTGAATAATACTGCATTATATCTGTGTATCACATTTTGCTCATCTACTTATCCACTGATGAACATTTTGAACTGTTTCCTTGTTAATGGGAACAGTGTTGCTATGACTGTCGGTACAAATATCTTTTTTTAATTTTTGCTTTCCGGTATATGTAGTATATATCCAGAAGTTGAATTGCTGTGTCGTATATGGTAATTGTTAATTTTTTGAGGAACCATCATACTGTTTTTTTCACAGAAGCTGTATCATTTTATATTCACACGCATCACCAGAAGTGTTTTAGGTGTTCTACATCCTTGAAAACACTTATTTACTGTTTTCTTGGTAGTAGCCATCTATATAGCTGTGAGGTGATCTCTAATTGTAGTTCCCTAATGATTAAGTGATGTTGAATACACATACTGGCATATCCTAATTGACCATTTATATATCTTTGCCAAAATGTCTATTTTAATTACTTAACCCATTTTTAAATTTGTTTTAATTTTTATGAGACCCAATTTGTTTATTCTTGCTGTGTGTGGATTGGGTGTGATACGCAAAATATCATTGCCACATCCAATGTCGTGAAGCATTTATGGTATGTTTTCTTAGAATTATATGCTTCTGAGCAAGACAAGGACATGGATACATTTAGTGTTAGTATTTGTACATTGTATTATGTAAGAGTTGAGTCTCATTCTTTTGCATGTGGCTTTCTATTTTTCATAGCACCATTTGTTGAAAACAACTATCCTTTCACCATTGAATGGTCTTGGCAAGTTGTCAAAAATAAACTGACCATTTATGCAAGGAGATTTTTTTCTGCACTCTTTATTTTACTTCCTTGTTCTGTATGTTTGCTGTTATGCCATTACCATACTGGTATGATTGCTGTAACTTTGTAGTTATCAGTTTGAAATTCAGAACTGTGACTTTTCCAGGACTGTTGTTCATTTTCAGAATTGTTTTGGCTATTCTGGTCCTTTGAAACGCCATTTGAATTTTAGGACTTTTTTTCTATTTCTGCAAAAGATGATATGGTGAATTTAAGAGGAATTAAATCTGTACATTTCTGTAGATAGTATTGACATACTAACAATATTCTTCCAATTAATTCATGAATATGGGACATATTTTTATGTTTTATTTCAGAAATTTTTTGTAGTTTTCATTGTAAAAGTCTTACGTCATTGGTTTAGTTTCTAAGTATTTTATTCTTCCTATTGTAAATGAAATTATTGCCGTAAGTTTTAAAATTGTTCATTGTTGGTATATAAAAATGCAGCTGATTTTTACAGGTTGGCTCTGTAGCCTGCTATTTTGTTGCAATTCTTCATTAGTTAGTTCTAAAGTTTTATTTTTATAGACTCTTAAGTGTTTTCTTTCTACCTATAAAGTCTTAGTTGCTGCCAACAGAGCTACTTTTACTTTCTGAGTTCGGTTGTTATTTTTTTTTATTACCTAATTGCTCTTGTTAGGATTTGTAGTACTGTATTGAATATAAGGAGCAAAAGCAAGCATCCATGCTTAGTAACTTACAGGAAAAGGTTTTAGTAGTCATCAATGAGAATGATGATGTTCCTTGTGGACTTTACATTTACACCTTTAACAATATTGATGTAGTTTCCTTTATCAAATTCGTTGGATGTTTACTCTTTGTGTTACTTTTGTAATAGGGTAATGTTGACCTCATGAAATGAGTTTGGGAGTGTTAAATTTCTTTTTATTTTTTGATTTGGGGTCATCCTGTCACCCAAGCTGTAGTGCACAGGCATGATCATAGCTCATTGCAGCCTCGACCTTCCGGGCTCAAGAGATTTTTCTACCTCAGCCTCCTGAGTAGCTGGGACTACAAGTGTGCACTCCCACACTCAGCTAATTTTTTATTTTCTGTAGAGACGGTTTTAGTATGTTGCCTTGACTGTTTTCGAACTCTTGGATTCCAGCAATTTTCCTGCCTTGACCTCCTAAATTGCTGGGATTATAGTCTTGAGCCACCACCTGGCATCATTCCTTGAATTTCTTAGAAAAGTTCGAGAAAGGTTGGTGGTAGTTCTTTTTTTTTTTTTTTTTTTG